ACTAAAAAAATGGTCCACATTAGAAAAAAAAAAAAAAAGAATCCACCTGCCATTGCAGGGGACACGGCATCGATCCCTGGTCTGGGAAGATCCCATATGCCGTGGAGCAACTAAGCCCGTGTGCCACAACTACTGAGCCTGCGCTCCAGAGCCCGAGTGCCACAAATACTGAAGCCTGCACACCTAGAGCCCATGCTCCACAACAGGAGAAGCCACCACAATGAGAAGCCCGTGCACTGCAGCGAAGAGTAGCCCCTGCTTGCCACAACTAGAGAAAGCCCGTGCACAGCAAAAACCCAATACAGCCAAAAATAAATAAATAAATATAGATAGATAACCAAGAAGGGCCTACCAAAATATGTATATATATATGTAGTTGTGAGGCAAATTTGGTTATATTAATGAGTTCTGTAGATGAACAGAGGTTGATTTGGTCATTGGAACATCCTGATGATGGGTGAATTTTGAGATTGTCTTTCCCTCTTATTCCAGAATAACTTTTTGTGATAATGATGAATTATATACTGATTTTTTTTTTTTTTTTCTGTGTCAGGTCTTAGTTGCGGCACACAGGATCTTCATTGAGGCATGCGGGATCTTTCATTGTAGCGCACAGGCTTCTCTCTAGTGCTGTGAGGGTTTTCTCTAATTGAGGCGCGCGCGAGCTCGGTAGTTGCAGTGTGTGGACTTAGTTGCCCCATGGCATGTGGGATCTTAGTTCCCTGCCCAGGGATCAAACCTGCGTCCCCTGCATTGGAAGGTGGATTCTTTACCACTGAACCACCAGGGAAGTGCCTATATACTGATATTTGATGTAGATTTATTCCTAGGTAAAGAAATAAAAGAAATTTAACATATTTTTTGTAAATTTATTATTTTTTATTTTATTTTTGGCTGTGTTGGATCTTTGTTGCTGCACGCGGGCTTTCTCTAGTTGTGGTGAGTGGGGGCTACTCTCTGTTGCAGTGTGCGGGTTTTTCATTGCGGTGGCTTCTCTTTTTTGTGGGGCATGAACTCTAGGCACATGGCCTTCAGTAGTGGCACATGGGTTCAACAGTTATGGCTCGCGGCCTCTAGAGCACAGGCTCAGTAGTTGTGGCACATGGGCTTAGTTGCTCTGCAGCATGTGTGATCTTCCCAGACCAGGGCTTGAACCAGTGTCCCCTGCATTGGCAGTCGGATTCTTAACCACTGTGCCACCAGGGAAGTCCAAAAGAAATTTAATATTTTTAAAAAAATAAATAAAGGATACAGCCCGCAGTGTGCTGGAACCTGCTTGTATTGGCTCAGGTTAAGTTGTAGGAATTTTGAGAGCTTGTTGTTAAACACAACCACTATTAAAAATTAAGTTATAGTAATTTACAACTAAATAGGTCATGTGAAAAACAGGTAATAAATACTGAAAGCCAATTACTTCCTAATTATGTCACTACAGTTTACTATCATCTGTGTTTACATCTTTTGTATCTGGACAGTGGAAATATGACACAATGGCAGCTACTATACATCTCTTCCCTTTTTTTTAAAGGTGAAACCGAATCACTCCTTTTTTTTTTTTGCCAAGCCATGCAGCATGCGAGATCTTAGTTCCTTGACCAGGGATTGAACCGGCACCCCGCTGCAGTGGAAGCACAGAGTCTTAACCACTGGTCCGCCAGGGAAGTCCCTATATATCTCTTCCTAATTTCCCATTCAGTGATAACCTGTTTGATAGCCTGAATCAACCATGATGGCAGTAGTTACATCACGGAAATTGGCCTATGCTACAAATCAGTTCCCATTCCGTTCTTCCTGAGTGCCAGTTATTTAAATATTTACCAGCCCACAACTGAATTACCCTCCCAAAAGGTTATACTAAAACTTCCACCAGGAGTGTATTTGATCTTGCCTTTTTAAATATTTCCATGACAGGTGTCTTGTTAATGAGCATTTTAATTTGCATGTCTTTATGTATCTTTTTTGTTGTTGTTGTTGTTTTTTTAATTTTTCGGTACGCGGGCCTCTCACTGCTGTGGCCTCTCCCGTTGCGGAGCACAGGCTCCGGACGCGCAGGCTCAGCGGCCATGGTTCACGGGCCCAGCCGCTCCGCGGCATGTGGGATCTTCCCGGATCGGGGCACGAACCCCCGTCCCCTGCATCGGCAGGCGGACTCTCAACCACTGTGCCACCAGGGAAGCCCTCTTTATGTATCTTTGCAAATGTCTCTTGGTCATTGGTATACTATGAGTTGCCTGTTTGTCCTTTGGCTTATTTTTCTATTGGGTTGACTGGTGTTTAAAAAAAAAAAAAGTAGAGGGCATGGGAAAGAAGAATTTGGGTCTTGTAAAGAAAAAAATAATAACCCTTTGCTATTTGTGGCAAATATTTTTCTCCCAGTTCCTCTTTTAACTCTGTTTATGGTGTCTTTTCCTCCCATACCAGGTTTTTGCTCTTTATATCATCCAGTGTGTTCATTTTTTCCAGTGACACTTTGAGGATACCATTTCTTAAGAAAATCTCTCCAAGGAACTTCCCTGGTGGTCCAGTGGTTAAGACTCTGTTCTTCCACTGCAGGAAGCATGAGTTCGATCCCTGGTTGAGGAACTAATATCCCACATGCTGCACTGCACGGCCAAAAGAAAAAAAAGAAAATCTCTGCAAATGTGCCCAGAAGGACCTGGAAGACTTACATTACATGCTACCTTGTCACATGTCTCTGTGGGGCTGTTCTGCCTGTGGGTGTTTGCACCTGTGTGTGTGTGTGGTATGTCTATTCCCTTTTTATTTTTTTTTAAATTAATTAAGTTTTTGCTGTGTTGGGTCTTCCTTGCTGCACACGGGCTTTCTCTAGTTGCAGTGAGCAGGGGCTACTCTTCGTTGCAGTGCGCGGGCTTCTCATTGTGGCGGCTTCTCGTTGCGGAGCATGGGCTCTAGGTGTGCGGGCTTCAGTAGTTGTGGCACGTGGACTCAGTAGTTGTGGTTCGTGGGCTCTAGCGCGCAGGCTCAGTAGTTGTGGCGCACGGGCTTAGTTGCTCCGAGGCATGTGGGATCTTCCCAGACCTGGGCTCGAACAACCCGTGTCCCCTGCATTGGCAGGTGGATTCTTAATCACTTTGCTGCCAGGAAAGCCCTCTATTCCCTTCTTATCCACTGTTTCACTTTCCATGCTTTCAGTTATCCACAGTCCACCCAAGTCCAAAAATGTTAAATGGAAAATTCCAGAAATAAACAATTCATAAGTTTTAAAATGTGCATTCTAGTATTGTGAAGAAATCTCCGGGTGTCGCACTACGTCTCGCCTGGGATGTGAACCATCCCTTTGTCCGGTGTGTACCACCCATTTGTCACTGAATAGCCCTCTCTGTTATCAGATGGACTGTCCCAGCATCTCAGTGCTTGTGTTCAAAGTGACCCTTATTTTACTTAATAATGGCCTCAAAGCACAAGAGGAGTGATGTGCCAAAGAGAAGACCTCAAGTGCTTCCTTTAAATGAAAAGCTAGGGCTTCCCTGGTGGCGCAGTGGTTAAGAATCTGCCTGCCAATGCTGGGGACACGGGTTCTAGCCCTGGGCGGGGAAGATCCCACATGCTGCAGAGCAGCTAAGCCTGTGCACGCTACAGCTACTGAGCCTGCGCGCCACAACTACTGAAGCCCGCATGCTTAGAGCCTGTGCTCCACAACAAGAGAAGCCACCGCAGTGAGAAGCCTGTGTAACGCAACGAAGAGTAGCCCCCGCTCTCTGCAACTAGAGAAAGCCCGCACACAGCAACAAAGAGCCAACACAGCCAAAAATTAACTTTTTTATAAAAGCTAAAAGTTCCAGACAATAAGGAAAGAAAAAAATCGTATGTTGAAGTTGCTAAGATCTATGGTAAGAACGAATCTTCTATCTGTGAAATTGTGAAGAAGGAAAAAAATTCATGCTGTTTTGCTGTCGCACTTCAAACTGCAAAAGTTACAGCCGCAGTGCGTGGTAACTGCTCTGGTATTGAGATGGAAAAGGTATCAAATTTGCACGGCAAGATATTTTGAAAGAGAGACCACATTCACATAGCTTTTATTACAGTACATTGTTATCGTTGTCTTATTAGTTATTGCTGTTACTCTCTTACTGTACCTAATTATAAATTAAATTTACTATAGGTGTGTACATATGGGACAAAACATAGCATGCTTCGGGTTCAGTACTGAGGTTTCAGGCATCCACTGGGGGTCTTGGAATATATCCCTCAGGATAAGAGGGGGCTTCCATCTGTGCATGTCACACAGGTACTCTTGGATGGGACTCCCATGCCCTCCATTGTTCACACAGTTACCCCATGTGTCAAGTGGGGAGTGAAGGAATAATGGATGTGCTGAGCCCACTGGGATACACAGGCAGGTGCAGCAAGTGGAGTAGTTCTCCGAATTTTTTAAAGGAAGACGCTCTAAGATCTGCTTCCTGAGAAGTGTGGCATGTGGGCAGGGCTCTCTGCCGGCTCCCTGGTCCGCCCTGTCCGCTGCAGGAGCCACCTCCTTCCACCAGGTCCAGAGTCTGGCAAAGGTGCCTTTGACCCCAAGCCTACCGGTTACCCAAAGTCCCCAGCACGTTCCGGAGGCGCAGTTACGGTCCGCGCCAGCAGGGGCGCCGGTCCCTAATTTTCTCCCAGGCTGTGCCGCGCGCTTCTAGGTGGATCTGAGGTGTCCGAAGTGGGCAGCCCGGAGGAGGGTCCGGCCTCGCCAGCTTGCGACCATGATCGCCACCTGCCACCCCTTCCCGAGTGGCCGAAGCCCCGGGTCTGCACCGCTAAGTGGTCGCGCCCAAGGGCATGGCTAGTCGGGGTTTACCACTTGGGATTTGGGACCCGCTGTCTAGACTTGCCTCAAGCTGCCGGGGTTCGGGGGGCGTCCTGCTGGGATCTGACAATTGGTAGTGTGAGACTCAGGCTTCCTCAGACCCCTACTTCATTTAGGAGGGGCGCCCCCGCCCCCTGTCAGGCCCAGGGCGCGCTCCCCTAGAGAGAACACTCGCGCACCTGAGGCTTTGTCCGCGGACTTTACTCAAACACGAGCCCCACGCGACCACCCTTTCAATTTAGTGACAGTTGGGGGCCAGCGCCGAGATCACGTGGCTCAGAAACTTGTTGAGGGAGGCCTGCAGGGAGGGGCTGAAGTCTCCGGGGTAGTGCCGGGCGAGGGTCACCAGCAGGCAGTGGACCAGCAGCTGCGGAGAGGGAGTCGTTTCCACGCGGGTGCACCCCCCTTCCCTGACGGGAGCCCCCTCCCCCGGCGACAGGGGTCAGGCCCCGCCGGCGAGCTCACCTGGAAGTTGACGGGGTCCACGCGCAGCTTATGCGCGTGCAGCTCACGCAGAGCCGACAGGGCGCTGGGCAGGTCCTCCAGGTGGTCCACGGCGAGGGTCAGCGCGTCGGCCACTTTCTGGCCGTGCGCTCTGACCTGGGCGGAACCGGGGCTCAGGTCCAGGTGGAGGAAGTAGGTCTTGGTGGAAGGGAAGGCCAGGAAGGTCCTGCAGGAGGAACGGCGAGTCAGGCTGGGGAGGAAGGAGGACGCTTTCCCGAGCGGGCTGAAGGCAGGGGAGCCCGGGGCCTGTGCGCACCTTTCCAGGGCCTCGGTCGTGTAGATGCCGACGTTACTACCCAGCTTCAGCCACAGCGCGCGCACCGCAGCCCGGTCCGCCGCCTCCAGCACCATCGTGGAGCCCGCCCGGCCGCGCGCTCGGAGCCTTGAAGCCCGGGTTGCGCCTGCGCGTATCGGCCCGCGGTCCCCTTGGCCTCCTGGGTTCGCCGTGCCTCTGGTCGCAGAATCTGGCCCCAGGGGCCCGGAGCGCTCCACGGAGCGTCTGCTTCGACCTGGGGCCTTCCTAATTGCCCTGGACCCTGAGGCCCGTATTTTTGAAGGTTTACTCTATGGAAACTAATATTTAGTATGTATCATTAATATTAGGTTGCCCTGAATTTTAGCGTGGATTTTGGCATTGAACGTCAGCTTATTCTACCTCCCTCCCGAGTCTATTATGACACCTTTCTGAGTCTATTTTCTCATTTATGGTATATAAGGAAGGTAACAATTTCTTCTTTCCAAGGTTGTACCTGGTTCATAACAGACGCCCCTTTCTGACAATGAGCATTTATAATGGGTGCCTAGGATATATCCCAAAATAATAGCTAATACCTATGCAGCACTCATGCTGTGCCAGGCATCACTATACATCCTTTTGTTTCTTTAAATTGCGTTGAAATTCATGTAACATAAAATTTACTGTCTTAGCTATTTTAAGGTGTACAATTCAGTGTCTTTAATTACATTCAGAGTGCGTGCAGCCATCACCACTGTCCAGTTCCAGAACGTTTTCATCGTCCCAAATAGAAACTCTGTCCCCATTAGCCATCAGTCCATAACCCCTGCTCTCCAGCCCCTGGCCATTACCAGTCTTTCTGTCTGTGCATTTGCGTATTCTGGACATTTCATGTGAATAGAATCATGCAATATATGGTCTTTTGTGTCTGGTTTCTTTCACTTAGTATGTTTCCGAGGTTTATCCATGTTGTAGCATGTACTGACATTTTGTTGCTTTTTATGGATGGATAACATTCCATTTTATGGATAGATCACATTTTGTTTGTCCACTCATCTGTTGATGAACATCTGGGTTGTTTCCACTTTTAGCCCAGGCCCTCATTTTTCCTAATAATAAAATAAGGAAGACTGCCTCTTACAGAGCTCATACTGTGCCACCAGCTGTGCTAAAAGCATGACACACTGAGTCAGGGAAACTGCCATCACATTTTCTGAGGATGACACTTGGGCCCAGGGAAGAAAGGACACTGCTCTCAGTCGGGGGCTCAGGGCTGGACAACTACCAGGACTGGGCACTAGGGGCATTCTCCATGGGACGGAAGCACATCGGAGTGCAGGCGCCCACACCCCCACCCCCACCCCCCGGGCTCTCTTCTCCACTGCTGCACTGGGGTGAGTCAGTGGGCCTCAGGGTGATGCAGTGGATCCTGAGCTGGGCCCCCCAAATCAGTCCTTTAGACCCTGTGAGTGTCCTGGGGGGTGTACCAGGTGAAAGGGGCATATCCAGGAAATTGCCTGGCTCTGCAATGGCACTGCTCACCCCAATTTCCTCTAGACTGTGCATGTACTTGGGAGGCACTTGATGGGGAGGGGGTACTCAGTGAGCCTCTGAAGAAGTGTGATCTCTGTGTTCTCCCCACCACCCAACTCTGGGAAGAGCCCTGGGAGAGCTCCAAGGTCCTAGGCTGGAGGTCCACCAACTCTCAGCACAACTGTGTGCCATAAAATGTGAAGACAGGAGACAGACCCATTATTTGAGCAAACCCGTGATGAATATGCAAGTCTCTGGAAGTAATTCGGTAAAGGGCGGATGTACTCAGCAAGTCACTCCAGGGTGAGGGTGACGCCTGCCCACAGAATCCCAGGCAGTGGCAGTGGGACCGGCTCCGCCCCTCTTCTGTACTGTTTTCCCCTTCCCTCTCTTCACCTGCCTCGGAGAGTTGCTTGGTCCAAGGCAAAGAGAGCCACCCCGACCCCTGGCACGGTTCGTGGACACAAAGAACCGAGGCTACAGAGGCTGCAGCCCACTCAGACTTTATTCAAAGATCGGGAAGTGAGGGCGCCCAGAGCGCTTTTTTTAAAGGTGAAACCGAATCACTCCTTTTTTTTTTTTGCCAAGCCATGCAGCATGCGAGATCTTAGTTCCTTGACCAGGGATTGAACCGGCACCCCGCTGCAGTGGAAGCACAGAGTCTTAACCACTGGTCCGCCAGGGAAGTCCCTATATATCTCTTCCTAATTTCCCATTCAGTGATAACCTGTTTGATAGCCTGAATCAACCATGATGGCAGTAGTTACATCACGGAAATTGGCCTATGCTACAAATCAGTTCCCATTCCGTTCTTCCTGAGTGCCAGTTATTTAAATATTTACCAGCCCACAACTGAATTACCCTCCCAAAAGGTTATACTAAAACTTCCACCAGGAGTGTATTTGATCTTGCCTTTTTAAATATTTCCATGACAGGTGTCTTGTTAATGAGCATTTTAATTTGCATGTCTTTATGTATCTTTTTTGTTGTTGTTGTTGTTGTTGTTTTTTTAATTTTTCGGTACGCGGGCCTCTCACTGCTGTGGCCTCTCCCGTTGCGGAGCACAGGCTCCGGACGCGCAGGCTCAGCAGCCATGGTTCACGGGCCCAGCCGCTCCGCGGCATGTGGGATCTTCCCGGATCGGGGCACGAACCCCCGTCCCCTGCATCGGCAGGCGGACTCTCAACCACTGTGCCACCAGGGAAGCCCTCTTTATGTATCTTTGCAAATGTCTCTTGGTCATTGGTATACTATGAGTTGCCTGTTTGTCCTTTGGCTTATTTTTCTATTGGGTTGACTGGTGTTTAAAAAAAAAAAAAGTAGAGGGCATGGGAAAGAAGAATTTGGGTCTTGTAAAGAAAAAAATAATAACCCTTTGCTATTTGTGGCAAATATTTTTCTCCCAGTTCCTCTTTTAACTCTGTTTATGGTGTCTTTTCCTCCCATACCAGGTTTTTGCTCTTTATATCATCCAGTGTGTTCATTTTTTCCAGTGACACTTTGAGGATACCATTTCTTAAGAAAATCTCTCCAAGGAACTTCCCTGGTGGTCCAGTGGTTAAGACTCTGTTCTTCCACTGCAGGAAGCATGAGTTCGATCCCTGGTTGAGGAACTAATATCCCACATGCTGCACTGCACGGCCAAAAGAAAAAAAAGAAAATCTCTGCAAATGTGCCCAGAAGGACCTGGAAGACTTACATTACATGCTACCTTGTCACATGTCTCTGTGGGGCTGTTCTGCCTGTGGGTGTTTGCACCTGTGTGTGTGTGTGGTATGTCTATTCCCTTTTTATTTTTTTTTAAATTAATTAAGTTTTTGCTGTGTTGGGTCTTCCTTGCTGCACACGGGCTTTCTCTAGTTGCAGTGAGCAGGGGCTACTCTTCGTTGCAGTGCGCGGGCTTCTCATTGTGGCGGCTTCTCGTTGCGGAGCATGGGCTCTAGGTGTGCGGGCTTCAGTAGTTGTGGCACGTGGACTCAGTAGTTGTGGTTCGTGGGCTCTAGCGCGCAGGCTCAGTAGTTGTGGCGCACGGGCTTAGTTGCTCTGAGGCATGTGGGATCTTCCCAGACCTGGGCTCGAACAACCCGTGTCCCCTGCATTGGCAGGTGGATTCTTAATCACTTTGCTGCCAGGAAAGCCCTCTATTCCCTTCTTATCCACTGTTTCACTTTCCATGCTTTCAGTTATCCACAGTCCACCCAAGTCCAAAAATGTTAAATGGAAAATTCCAGAAATAAACAATTCATAAGTTTTAAAATGTGCATTCTAGTATTGTGAAGAAATCTCCGGGTGTCGCACTACGTCTCGCCTGGGATGTGAACCATCCCTTTGTCCGGTGTGTACCACCCATTTGTCACTGAATAGCCCTCTCTGTTATCAGATGGACTGTCCCAGCATCTCAGTGCTTGTGTTCAAAGTGACCCTTATTTTACTTAATAATGGCCTCAAAGCACAAGAGGAGTGATGTGCCAAAGAGAAGACCTCAAGTGCTTCCTTTAAATGAAAAGCTAGGGCTTCCCTGGTGGCGCAGTGGTTAAGAATCTGCCTGCCAATGCTGGGGACACGGGTTCTAGCCCTGGGCGGGGAAGATCCCACATGCTGCAGAGCAGCTAAGCCTGTGCACGCTACAGCTACTGAGCCTGCGCGCCACAACTACTGAAGCCCGCATGCTTAGAGCCTGTGCTCCACAACAAGAGAAGCCACCGCAGTGAGAAGCCTGTGTAACGCAACGAAGAGTAGCCCCCGCTCTCTGCAACTAGAGAAAGCCCGCACACAGCAACAAAGAGCCAACACAGCCAAAAATTAACTTTTTTATAAAAGCTAAAAGTTCCAGACAATAAGGAAAGAAAAAAATCGTATGTTGAAGTTGCTAAGATCTATGGTAAGAACGAATCTTCTATCTGTGAAATTGTGAAGAAGGAAAAAAATTCATGCTGTTTTGCTGTCGCACTTCAAACTGCAAAAGTTACAGCCGCAGTGCGTGGTAACTGCTCTGGTATTGAGATGGGAAAGGTATCAAATTTGCACGGCAAGATATTTTGAAAGAGAGACCACATTCACATAGCTTTTATTACAGTACATTGTTATCGTTGTCTTATTAGTTATTGCTGTTACTCTCTTACTGTACCTAATTATAAATTAAATTTACTATAGGTGTGTACATATGGGACAAAACATAGCATGCTTCGGGTTCAGTACTGAGGTTTCAGGCATCCACTGGGGGTCTTGGAATATATCCCTCAGGATAAGAGGGGGCTTCCATCTGTGCATGTCACACAGGTACTCTTGGATGGGACTCCCATGCCCTCCATTGTTCACACAGTTACCCCATGTGTCAAGTGGGGAGTGAAGGAATAATGGATGTGCTGAGCCCACTGGGATACACAGGCAGGTGCAGCAAGTGGAGTAGTTCTCCGAATTTTTTAAAGGAAGACGCTCTAAGATCTGCTTCCTGAGAAGTGTGGCATGTGGGCAGGGCTCTCTGCCGGCTCCCTGGTCCGCCCTGTCCGCTGCAGGAGCCACCTCCTTCCACCAGGTCCAGAGTCTGGCAAAGGTGCCTTTGACCCCAAGCCTACCGGTTACCCAAAGTCCCCAGCACGTTCCGGAGGCGCAGTTACGGTCCGCGCCAGCAGGGG